TCTGTTTCAATGCAGTATACATTTTTGAACCCCTCTTACTCAGTCTATCCCCATCCCCAAGGTCAGTCCTCTTTTACAACAGTGGCACCATGCAGTATTTGTCCTTTTGTGACTGAGATACTTCACTCAGCATAATGTCCTCCAGAGTCACCCAGTCTGAATAATACTGCCTGAGTTGCTTGTTTTTCAATGCAGCATAGTGTTCCTTTGTGTGAATATACCACAGCTTCTCTATATATTCGTTTGTTGATTGGCACTTAGGTTGTTTCCTATTCCTTGCTATTGTGAACAAAGCTGCAATAAACATGGGTGTGCATTTTTCTGCTTGGGTGGCAGTTATGGTCTCTTTGGGGGTATATTCCCAGTAGTGGAATTGCTGGGTCCAATGGTATCTCTATTTCCAACTTTTTGAGAAAGCACCATACCGCCTTCCACAGTGGTTGCACCAGCCCTTCAACTTTCTCATGTGTAAAATTCAGAGACAACACTTATGTTCATCATGCTGTTCAAGCATCACTATTTGTTTCCAAAAATTTTCCATCATTCTAATAGATGCCCAGTGCCCTCAAGGCAACAGGTCAATCTTTTCCCCTCCCTCCTACCTGCCCTTGTAACTACTAATAAACTTTGGTTTCTACTGTTCTTTATTCTAGATATTCTATATAAGGGACATCATACAGTTATTTGTCCTTTCATAACAGACTTATTCCATTCAGCATGTTTTCAAGAGTCATCTTGAAATGTACAGCAAGCTATGAAGATATCATTTCTCTTTATGGCGGAGTAAAATTCAGGTAATATTCAGCTAGGAGTGAAAATGCTGGATCAGATGACAATTCTATGCTGAACTTTTTTTGAGACACTGTCAAACTGTGACAGTTTCATCAGTGACAGTACCATCTCTCAATTTCACTAACAATGGGTAAGGTCAAAATTTCACTAGCAATGGGTGAGAGTTTCAAATTCTCCACATCTTCATCTCCACTTACTTTTTACAAAATTGTTAAGTTCCCTAGGGACGTTATGGGAATATCACAAGTGGACAGCTTTAAAGAACAGGAATTAATCTCAGTTTTGGATACCAGAAACTAATAAAGTCATCAGGTATAGGCAAAGCTGCCACGTTTTGTGCTTTCAGTTTCTGAAACTATGTTCCATGTATTTTTTCACATAGCATCTCTAACCCTTTTGTGCTTGTTTCTGTCCACACTGCTCCTTATAACTGAGAAGGTTTAGGCCCATCCTACACTAATATGGTTTCTTTAACACAACAAAGAAACCCAATTTCCAAGGACAGTTGAAAGTACAAGGATCAGGACTCTAATATGCAGACATTATTCAATTAATAGGAGCCATTATAGTAGGTATGAAGTGGTAATTCATTGTGATTTTGGTTTGCAATTCCCTAATGATAAGGAGAATTTTAAATCATGTTGTACACATTTGGAACCTGGACAATGAATCGAGAAATCTGAAGAACATAATTATGTCTTTGAATTGGGGCCTTGGTGAAGAGTACTGAATCTACCACGGACTTCTAAAAGAATAAATCTGTCTTGGAGGAAAAACAGACATTTTCCTTATAGGCAAAGATGGTGAGACTTCATCTCAGAAATTTTGGGTGTGTTGTCAGGAGAGGCCAGATCCTGAAAAAAAAGGACACCATACTTTGAAAAGCGGAGGGTCAGCTAAGCAGAGGAAGACCCCCAATGAGATGGACTGACAGTGATTACGTAAAAATGACAATTTAACCGTTAGGCAATGGGCTCAAGCATAGCGGAGATGATGAAGACGGCACAGGGTAACTAAATGTAAGTCAGACTGATGCTGAAACACTGCTGAGTACTTTTTCATGTGATACTTAGCAATTTGTGTTTCTTCTTGGATGAGACGTCCATTCAAGAGCTTTTCTCACTCACAGATTAGGCTGTCCATTTCTCGCTCTTTATATTATCTGGATATTAAATCCTTATCAGGTATTTTGCTCCCTTAAATGTTCTCACAACTGTAGGCTATCTTTTCATTATGTTGGTAAATCCTTTCATGAACAAAATTTTGCAAACATGCAATTTATCTATTTCGTCATTTGTTGCCCATGTATTCAGTGTAACAACTAAGAAACCCTAAGAAATAATGTTCTATCCACCAGATGCTCTGATGGAGAAGGAGGGACAATCTCCTTTTGTGCCAGTCAGATCCAATTTGATGGTACAAAACAAGAAAAGAAAAAAAGAAAAACTCCAGAAATAATGTTCTGAATAAAACATATGTCCTCTTGTGTTTCCTTTTAATAGTTTTAGGGTTTTAGTTTTTAACATGTAAGTGGCTTGATCCATTTTGTGTTGGCTTTCAGATATGGTGAGGAGAAGTTCAGGTTTATTCTTCCTTTGTGGAAATGTATCTGTCCCAGGCTTATTTATTAAACTATCTCTCCTACACTAAAAAGATTTTGCATCCTTATCAAAAATCAAATGACCAATGATGTACATATTTATTTCTGGATTCTCATTGGTGTATACATGTCTATCATTATACCTGCACCAGGTTATTTTAATGACCAAAGCTTTATAATATTATTTTGAGATTGGGAAATGTGAATCCTACTAATTTGGGTTTTTGTCCCCGAAGACTGCTTTCTTTGGCTATTTACAGTTTCATACATATTTAATGACTTTTTTTTTCAATTTCTGTAAAGAGCTGTTAGACATTTGGTAGGGACTATGTCTAAAGATAGTAGGTACCTGTGACATTCAATAATACCTAGTCTTCTGATTTATGAGTAAACTACATTTAAGAGAGATGTAAATCAAAACAACTCTGAGGTATCATCTCACCCCAGTAAGAACAGCAAAATTTAAGAGCAGCAAACAACAAATGCTGGCAAGGTTGTGGAGAAACTGGAATCCTTATTCACTGTTGGTGGCAGTATAAAATGGTGCAACCACTACAGAAGGCAGTATGGTGCTTTCTCAAAAAGTTGCAAATAGAAATATCATTTGACACAGTAATTCCACTACTGGGAATATACCCCAAAGAAACCAGAACTGCCACCCAAGTGGATATATGCTCTCCTATGTTTACTGCGGCTTTGTTCACAACCCAAGTGCCCAACAACAAACAAATGGATAGAGAAGCTGTGGTATTCACAATGGAATACTACACTTCCTTGAAAAGCAAGGAACTCATGAAATATACAAAATGGGTGACCCTGGAGGACATTATGCTGAGTGAAATATCTCAGTCACAAAAGGACAAATACTGCATAGTGCCACTGTTGTAAAACGGGACTGACCTTGGGGTTGAGGGGAGACAGAGAAAGAGGGGATAAATAATGTGTACCACATTGCAACAGATGAGGGAGAGAACTGTTTAGGAGGAATATATGATTAGGTGTTGTCATGACAAGAGTCCAAAATGAAAGCTGCATAGTGGAGTGGACTGGGGGCGGGGGGAGGGCGCGGGATAGAATACTTTTTTTTTTTTTACTTTTCAAAGAGAAAAGCGAACTGTGGGGGGATAGATGGGTAGGGAGGAAAGTGTGCAACAATGAATAAATGGAAATCCAAAGTCTCTGTAAACTTTCATTAAAATAAAAAAAAAATTCTAAAACAAACAACAAACACAAAACACCACCCCGTACATTTTTATTGACTCTAAATCACTTCTACTTTCTCAAAACAGGAAAAAAAAAGAGATATGTATATTAAATAATTTTATTCCAGCCATGTGGCAAAAAAAAAAAAACATCAAACCAATAATTAACTGTGTACATATGGGGTCTGTGGATCAGGGAAGGAGCACCCAGAAAACTTTCTGTAGGAGGCACAATCTCAGGCAAAGTTTTTCTGCTTAATAAAATGCACACTGGGAAGATTTAAACAAGACTCTGAACTTACCTCGAAGAGTGTGAAGAAGGTTGCAATCAGGAACAGACCAGAGCTTGCAAAGCCCACTCCTATCAAATACAAAGGAAAGCATCTCAGCCAGGGTTGCTCTGGGAAGGAAAAGGTACCTTGGTAATATTACTAAAGGACAATCACTTCTTATCCCCAATAAACTTACAGTAGTACAAAGAGGAAAAAACAAAAACAAACCCAATCCAAAACAACCAACCAAATGCCTTTAATTTCAAGGATTAAAAAAGTAAGTTAGGTTTCAGGTAATTATAGGCTCCAATTGTCTAGGACAAGCTGATCTTTCTTTTAAATTTCAGATCAATTTATAAGGGGAGTTATGACATATCATTTCATAATAATCATAATGATCATCTTGAACTTTCCTTGAAAAGTGTTTTGTTGCTTGCAAAGAACCTACATTTTGAAACACTTTCAACAAATTACTTCTTATCTATTATTTGAAATGATGTTTATAATAGACCTGAGGAGGATAAGACAGGAATTATCTTTTCTATTTTACAGTTAAGCTAAGAACCTTGGAGAGCTAGGGTGACTGATAATACTTGACATTTCCCTGAACCACAGACTCAATTTCTTCCTAGTCAAGTGATACCTGTGCATGTAATGATGTAATATTATGTTTCCTCTCTTACTAACTTCGCCTCTTCCCCAGAGCACTTTAACAAAATTACCATATCCTAAGAAATTTACATATATGGAGTAGCAAACACAAAATAAATGAAAAATAAAGACAATAGTATTTATTGAGTCTTTACTATGTACCAGGCTGTATCAAGGCAAAATGCTTTGCAAACATTATTTCATCTCGCCTTACAGATATAATACAATTACTATAATAAATATATAAAGAAATAATAATAATAATACAAAGTGCTTTTTCTAAGGAGCCTAGGTAACATGACTAAAAATAGGAAAATCATCTTAAAGTGTGAATACTCATGGATCTATAGACTCACTATAAAATATGTTCCAAAACACCACTGTCAACATATTACACATCATTGAGGTGCTTCGTAAATGAAAACAATGCTAAGCAAAAGCTACATTTTATAATACAATGGTCACAGCATTAGCCTCTCTTGTTAATCAAATTTGGTATCATCCTAAAAATCAGAAGAAGGAGTAGAAACAGATATTTAAGGCTAAAGTTATTTTTACTCTTTCCCAATTAGGGAAAAAAAGCATAACACTGTAAAAAGGAACTTACCAACAAGCTGTGGCCAACATTTTAGAGTTAGGACTAAAGTGACAGTACGAGATAGGCCGGTCATCCCCAATCTGACTGCAGAAATTATTTAAAGACTGAAAAATAAAACATACAAAACAGTGATCATTAATGACACAAGACTCTCTGTCTTAAGGCTTTTACTAGGAAAAAAGTAACTTTCTAGTTTCACACTTTGAGATTTTTTATAGTTTTATTTCTGTACTCTTTTTAGTAGGTATTTTTTATAATTATGTTCTGGAAATGAATGGCAGTTAAGGCCCATCTGGAACTCTCAACACGCTGTTTCTTACAGTCTGAGCACCCTAGCTTCTTCACATCTGTTTCTGAGCACCCTAGTTCACATCTGTGTCAGCCAATAGAAACAGTAAAATCTTGGAGAGATCCAAAGGATAACTTTGAGGTAACAGAAAGGAGAATGACCAAACATCTCTACTGAGGAGAAAGGAGGTCCTTGCCATTTAAATGATGGCTCCTTGCAAACAGCAAAGGCTCAAGGGAGGAAGAGTTACAATCTCCTTTATCACGTGATATTATGAGTAGGAATTGATTGATAGCAGTGAGGTTTTCCTCTCTTGTTTACCAAATTGTGGGCCAAAGCAGAAAATCTAATAAATATTAAGAACCTGTAGAGTGCAGGATAACTACAAGTGTCTTACTCGAAGAGATTTGTGCAGCTCTTGCATCTGAGAGGTCCTAGTTGTCTCAGGAATCTCTTTATGGAGACGAGCCTCTTCCAAGCGTTTCATTGCCCTGTGACACAGAAACAACATTATCATGAGCAAGAAGGTTATAAGCAAGTGTCCACATACATAGCTCTACCACCTATTCAACGTATTTACTACAAAACAGATCCTCAGTTCCAACATATTTATTATAAAACAGAGGACATTAGAAAGAAATCCCAAAAGCATTCCTTCTAGAGACTCATCCTACCTGGGTAGTGAATAGTTAGCAATCCACAGCCTTGCAACCTTTAGGCTGTTTGGTCCTTCATGATACCACGTTTGCTGATACTGAAAAGCAAATTTAAAACAGAAATTAAGAAGGGAAACATTTTTTTTTCATCTCAAAGTTGTTACTCTTTATTTTAACTCTTCAGTAAGAAAGTACATTAAACCAGTATTATGACAAAGAGGGGAAGGTTTGGTTTTTACGAAGTTTTACTGGAAGATTTCTCGGTCCTTGTCAAAAAGTCATAATAGGAATGCTATGCTTCAAGAAGCTGCACTGCAATCCCAGAGGAACAGAGTTCGAATCCACCAGATGCTCTGCCGGAGAAGGAGGCGCAATATCCTCCTGTACCAGTCAGATCTGATTTGACGGTACACGCACACAAAATAAAAAAAAAAAAAGGAATGCTATGCTTTTTTCCCCGAGTGGAAAAGTTGTTTGGCTCTTCTATACCTACACAAAACCTACAAACTAATGCGAAAACTATTCCTGAATGGGAGCTTCCAAATATACGTACTTCCCTCCAAATCCTAGTGAAGTAAATCCTGAAATCAAAGGCATATTTTACCTCTTCTTTGGATTTCTTAGATTTTTCATCATCCTTTTTGGTCTTTTTTAAGGCATCAGTACCAACCACTGAAAGGATATTTCTTAATCTGTAATAAAACAGATGAACATTTAAAAAGAGCACATTGGGGGAGGTGGGGGAAGAACAGATTAAGACTGTAAAAAAAGTATGTCTAAGAAAGGTGCAAGCCTCCTTTCTCATTATACCATTCAAACTCCTAGCAACTCTGAGGCACAATCTGCCATGTCCAAACTAAGATTTGTTTTAATAGTCTTTTTTTCTTATTTGAAGATTTCACAAATACAAATATAAACAAGTACGCTACTCAATTTCAGTCAGCCCCTAACAGTGGTACCACATGGTCTGTAAAGCTAGTCAACTTCATTCAATGCCACAATGTGCTGGATACTCATTAAGGTACTAAGTATACACAAACCTACCACCACCATGTCAATTCTGATTCACAGCGATCCTGTAGGACAGAGGAGATTGACAGAGTAGATCTTGTTAAGAGAGAGTAGACTACAGACTTCAGGGAAGATTACACCTCAGTATAAAAAAAACAAAGATCCTCATCAATGGACCAGTAAGTGACATCATGATAAATGAATAAATACTGAAGTTGTTAGGGATTTCATTTCACTTGGATCTACAACCACTGTCCATGGAAGCCAGCAGCCATGAAATCAAGAGATGTGTTGTCCTGGACTAATGTACTCCAAAAGACCTCTTTAAAGTAAAAAGCAAAAATGTCACTGTGAAGAATAACCCAAGTTATGGTATTTTCAATTGCTTCATATGCACATAAAAAGCTGGACAATGGGTAAAAAGACTAAGAAAAGATGCGCTTGAAACATGGTGTTGGCAAAGAATACTGAATATATAACATACCACCAGAAGAATAACCTTAACTTGGAGGGAGTAAGGAAAAATGTTCCTCAGAAGCAAGGATGGCAAAACTGTTTTATGCACTTGCTATTAAGTGGATCAATCTCTGGAAGACACTATGCTTAGAAAAATACGGTGAGCAAAAAGAAGAAAACTCCTCAGTCAGACAGACTGACAGAGATGGCACTAATGGACTCAAGCACAGCAATAATGATGAGGATGGTGCAGTGCTTCCTGATGCTGCACACAGGGTCACTATGAGTTCAAACTGACTCAGTGGCATTTAATACCAGTACCACCACCACAACGCAGAGCACAATTTAGGCTTGGAGTATAATGGAAGGCTTTATGGTGGCAATAATTCTACACTGAGTTCTCAAATAGTCAAGCCAAGGGATTGAGAAAGGCAAGGTACTGACAATGTTGAGTTAATGTAAACTCAAAAGAAAAGAAAGACATGCAGTGCTTGGAATCATCAACAGTTCAACAGGGTATAGCAAAGTACTGGTGAGAGGTAAGGGTGGAAGTGTAGGTAGGGCCAGGTCACAAAGGCATTCTTACGCCATACTAAGGAAAGTTCACCTTTGAGAAATGTAAATTGGTCAAAGTACATGTAACCTGGCAACTAAAGCACAAGTTAACTCTGGCAGCTTAACGTGAGGAACTGTTCTGCCAATACAAAGCTATTTGGTTCAAATCCACTAGCTGCTCCATGAGAGAAAGATGGGCAACTACCTCCCATGGGATTTATTGCCTCTGAAAATCCACTGGAGTGTGAGCTATGAGACTTTTCAATCTTAAATTTTAAGATACTCTTTATCAATATAAAAATACCCTTGTTGTTGTTAAGTGCCGTCAAGTCGCAGGCAACTCATAGCGACCCTATGAAGGAGAGTCCTCGACGTTTGGGTGCGTTTCATCCTCTCTCCAGGTTCATAGGGTTTCCGGAGGCATGCTATTATGGAATTGGATGCTACTACTCCTTCCAAATAACCTCAATAGGGAATCAAAAGAAATTAATGTGTATGGTACATTACAATACAGTATTATTAGCTTTTGAACTTAACCACTGCTACAGTTTCAGATATGAAAAGATTACTGTTCAGAGGAAATTGTGTAAAAATTTCCTTCACGGCAAACTTAAAATTTCTACCCAGTTATTTTCTTCATGTGATTTTCAGTGCAAAATCAGGGGTTTCTATTTTAAAGCACAAAGAAACCTCACCTGTGTCCTTCATTGAATCCATATTTTGGAATTCGAATATAAAATGGAGTCTGGCCTCCCTCAAAGCCGAGTCGAGGCCGAGTTCCTCTCTACCTCTGTTCTTTATCACCTGTGCCACACTTTCTACCTCTTCTCTGACCTCATGGTCTTCTCTCCAGCTTCCTGGAGCCCTTATCATGTTTTATATAACCCAGAAGAAATAAATTTGTTGTCTAAATTTTCGAAAGTTTAACCACATATGTTTAACCAACCCCAAATCACTGTGTAAGGAGAGCATATTACCATCCCTTTCACAGTATATAAAGAAAAATTACTGCTAGGGTGAAACTTGTTGGCATCAAACAACAATAACAATGATGACGACCAAGAGAGAGCTACGTTGGCCTAGGGGAAAGGAAGCTATGCTACCAAGCTGAAGGCGGGTAATTTTCCTCTGTGGCCCTCGGCCAGGTTCAAATTGTCTTCCTATCATTCTTCTAGGTGGTATAGCACTGGTCTGTGCGTTGCTGTACAGAGGTAACTCATGGTTGCTCTGATGCTGAAGACTGTGACAATGATGTGCCAATCGTGGTAATGGGTACCCTTGGTGGACAGTGTTGGCTGGACATTCCCGACTAAATCAAGCCTGGAAGCAGGAGTGGCATCCACTTCCGAAATGGCTTGCCTCCGGAAACTCTATGTACGAACAGTGCTCAGGGTGTTCATTCATAGGGTCGCTATAAATCGTCTACAACTCGACGGCATCAAACAACAACAACAACAACAACAGTGTGAAACTTGACCCAAGACTTAGATCGATCATGGACTTAATGATACAAACACAATTAAAGATGTTAATATAATCTGAGACATTTTATTAAAATGTAAGCTATATAATTCAATTCAATGTAGTGGAATTGGAACTGTCTCACAACTGACACTCCAGCAGTTTTTCCAAGGCTGTAAAATCACATGCGAGGAGACCGCCTATCTTTCTTCCACAGAACAGCAGGTGGATCTGAACTCCCAGAGAGGGCCCACCTTTGGAGTTAGTAATGCAATTACTACCTATACCACAAGAGCTCCCTAGTTTCAGCCATGAAGATCAACAAATCTGGGACTAGAATCTTGTGATTTTTAAAAAGAAATTAATAAACGAAAGAAAAATAAAAACAAGCAAAGGAGTGTGTAAATACTTAGAGCGAGCACCTTTCTCTTCGTTCAGCTGGGCCCTCTCCAAAAAGTGTGATGGGTTCTCCTAATGCTCTAAGGCAAGCCTTGACCTCGGAGTCATCTGTGGAAACGTTGATTTGCCGGGCTCGTTTCCTCCTCTCAAACTCTGCCAATACTTCTGCTTGTCGCTCACTGATGTGCTCCTCAATCTCAAATACTTCTCCTATAAAAAGAACAGACAGTATCAACATAAGTATATCCTCAAATAGAAATAATTTCTACCAATGGATTCTGTGTACGTCCTGAAGGAAAGGTAAACTAATCTATTATGCATTTTATAGACATAGTCTGCTTTTCAGTTTACTAAATTATAGCAAATACATAAAAATAAATAAGTTTTAGAATGACAGGAAAGTGTTTCAAGTAATTTTGGCAATTTATGTCTAATATAAATACAATTTCAATGTGATTAGAAAATAAGAATAAAGAATATGTTTGTGATAGGGGAGCTCTGGTGGCCTAGTGGCAAGGAGCTGCAACTAAAATCCTAGAGGAGCACAGTTTGAATCCACC